GGGGGGGGCGGGCAGGAGTCAGCAACGATGCGGACAGTGAAGGCAGGGATGGCACGCGCGCTATGAATAAGGCACAGGAGCATCTCATTTGCTGGCTTGACACCCCAACTCCCCACTCGTGCCAACAGGTGCCCTGTGTGAAGTCTGCGCAGCGACTGCCCAGCCACATCTCGCCCCCGTAGCACTCCCTGAGCACGCACCGTCCCAACCCTGCTTCACCCCCTCCCCCACCTGCCAGCACCGCGTTGCTCTCCTCCCTCTCCTCCGCGACCGCCGCCAGGATCAGGTCCAGGACGGACTGGCGCTGGGCGGGGGTCAGCTCCTCGGCGGCCTCTGAGTGCAGTACCTCCGCCAGCGCCCTGAACAGCTGGTACTGCAGGCGCGGCGTGGCCGCGGCGTCCCTGACCAGGCCCAGCAGCGGGTCCAGCCGCGCGCCCAGCGCGCCAGAGGTCGCGCCTGTACGAGGGTGGGGTGGGGCGGTGAGCGGGGGCGGGTCCGTGGGCGGGGGGCCAGCAGGAGGGGGGAGGGAGATGTGAGCAGGTGCGAACAGGACGATGGCAGAGGGCGGCACGGGACTGGCGCGCTCCTGGAAACCCAGGCACACCCGTCCCCTCCCCCTGCCTCCCTCCAGGGCTCGCGCACCTCCCAGCGCCGTGGCAGCGGCGTCCGCCACGTCCTCGGCGGACAGAGCGGAGAGGAGGGCCTCGTGCACTTGTGGCAGCTGCCCCAGGTCCCTGCCCCGCCCGATCTCGCCCAGCACGCCCAGCGCGAGGCGCCTCGCCGCCGCCTCGCTCTTGCCACCCTGCAAGGGATTGGAGGGGGTGGGTCGGTGGGTGGGCGGCGATCTTCGAGCTACATCTCACTGGGGCATTGCCGTCCACATATGTTCGGGCAGTAGATAAACCTATGTGAAGAAACCCTATCCAGAGGGGTGTAAGAACGGGCCCAGCGACAAGAGTACGCCAATGACATTCACCACTCCCAGAGCCAGCCATCCCGACACCCCCCACCTGCAGAGTGTGCAGCAGGTGCTGCAGCGTGCCCTGCACCCGCTCGTCCTCGGTGGCACACAGCGCGCACAGCGCTGCGACGCAGCGCGCCAGCGCGAGGTGCCCGCCCAGGGCGGCGCCGGCCGCCGTCAGCCCCTTCTGCATCAACGACTCGCGCAGCTCCGCAAAGGCGGCCGCGTCGCCGCTGGCCAGCGCCAGGCGGGCGAAGAAGGACTGGAGCGCCGTCAGCACCGAGGGCTGGAGCAGGGGGGAGGCCGCCAGGGTGAGGGCCCCCGGGAGCACCTGGATACGAGTACAGAGAGGCAATGAGTTCATCAGAGGGGGTGGGTCAGTGCGCTGATTGCAAGTATTGCCAAAGTAGGGCTGGCCTTCACACGCGATGTGTCCTTCCTGGGCACCGCACATCCCCGCGGTCAGCCCCCCATGGGCCCCGCCCTCCTCCCCTCATCCCTCGTACCTTTGAGCGGGCTGCCTCCAGCGCGGCCTCGGGCTGGCTCTCCAGAGCCACCACGGCCAGCTGCAGCGCCAGCCCCGCGTGCATCAGCTCCGCCTCGCTCAGCTGAGTGCCGGCCTCCGCCACGACCCCGGCGAGCACGTCGGCCGGCAGCGAGGCCCCCTCCCGTGCGACCAGCGCCTGCATGCGAAGGTGGACTTGTCTGGGCGGCCGCGGACTCTGCCAGCAACACCAGGGCCCAGCAGGAGCTTGCACCAAAGAATGCCATCCCAAGAACCAGGCACTTCCCCACACACACCTTCAGGGTCCTCAGGGCCGCCAGGCGCAGCGAGCGGCTTGACTTTTTCAGGAGCTGAGTGAGGTCCCGCACCAGCTTCTCCAGCACTGGCAGATGGACCAAGGAGTGTTTGAGGGATGGGTGGCTCCACATGCACGACCAGGGCATGGGGGGACCGAGCATCGGCCTGAACAGGCCAGCCAATTGGCCATCCCGCCCAGCCCTCTGCACTTGCGGCACGGCTGTTGGTGGTCTGGGGGTGCGGCACCATCTCCTCCAACGCACCAGGGGTCAGGTTGAGGGGGCGGGAAGAAAGGGCGACCTGCTCAAAGGCCCTGATGGCAGCGGTGGCCGTGGACTCGCCGTGCACCCTCTCCAGCAGCAGCTCCAGCATCTGTGCGCTCGGGTTGAAGGGGGGCATTTGGAGTGTAGACCAGTGTGTGGCCGTGCGACACCTCCTGCGGCGCTTGTACCGCCCAACCTCCTCCCAAGAAACCCACCTCCCGCACCTCCGCGCTGGGGCCGGCGGCGCCCCCGCCCGCCGCGCCAACCTCCGCGCCGCCGCCGGACAGCTTGGCGCGCTTGGAGGTGCGGGCCTTGGGCATGGCAGCGAACTCGCGCGTCAGCTCCCCCACCGCCTGCGTCTCCAGGCCCAGCGCGTCGCCCAGCGCCGCCAGCAGGGCGGCCGCGGCCGCGATGGCCCCCTCCTTCACCTCCTGGTCCAGATCCACGGGTCGCAGCCGCGCCAGCACCGCCGTCGCGGCGTCGGCGAGCGCAGGCGCGGGCGGCGACGCGGGGTCATGCTTATCGTCTCCGGCACCGGCGGGCGCCTCGCCAGCCAGCGCCGGCGCGGCGGCCGCCACGGCGCGCAGCGCGGCGGCCGCCACCTTGTAGTAACGGTCCAGGGTGGCTTGGAGGACCGAGGGGAGGGCGGGGAGCAGGGCCGCCGCGTTCACGCCCCGCGCCTCGGTCAGCGCCGCCGTGAGGAACTGCAGGGCCGCCAGCTTCAGCGACGCCGACGCGGCCGAGGTGTCCTGGTGGGGGGGAGGTCCGGAGGGGTATGTCATGTGGCAGACCAAGTTGCAAGCAAGGGAGGGGGTGAAACCGGAAGGATTCAACTCTGTTAAGGTCCGAGGGCGAGCATTTGAGGCGTGAGTGCAGCTGCGCATGGTGCCACGCTCCGTCACGCTCAGACCGTCACGGGCAGTCGATGGGCGTGTGCCGGAATCCCCCCGCTCCCCAGCCCCGCCGCTCTCTCCACATCAGTCGGACTCACAGCGAGGGCTGTGGTGACGCCGGCGAGGACGGCGGGCAGCTGCGCGCCCACCGTCGAGGGGTCCACTCGTGCCAGCTCCTGCAGCACCCCAAAGACGTCGCCCTGTGCGGGGAGGAAAGCATGGCTGAGGGTGCGAAGGGTTGCAGGGAGCAGGCAGAATAGCGAAGTCGGCGGAGCTTCCAGCCCATCTCTTTTGCAGTCGTCCACTCAACCCTGCACCATCAAGCCTGCTGTCCCACCAACAAAGCCACCAGAATCCCCGCATTCAACCATTCTCTCAGTCAGGCAGGCAAAGCACCAACATCCTGTCCATGTGAGCCAGGCCCATGCAGCGCGCGCATGCGCACCAGGAACCTCCCCAAAAGGGAAACCAGGCCGACACACGAGCCAGTCCACCAACTCCGCCGTACCTTAACCTTGGCTGACTTGCCGCCGGCGCCGAGCTCGCGGGCCAGCGCCTTAACCACGGAGGGCAGGTCCCGCTGCAGCAGCTGCTGGGAAGCTGTGTCCCCAGAGCTGGCCTGGGCCTTTACCTGAAAGGGGAGGCAGGGCCCTGGGTAGTCGGCGGATGTCAAAGGACCCTTACATGACACATGCCGGTGCTGGTCAGGAGCCTGGCACTGCACCACATCGCCTCTCTCATCACGCCAGCGATCCTATCTTCCCCCTTTCCAGTTCCCAGTTCCTGCAACCTGCTGGAGTAGTTGAATGTAGGCTGCCAGTACGTCAGACTTCACCACCGCCTCCCGCTCCTTGAACCGGGATACCAGCGGCCCAGCCAGGGTGGCATAGAGCTGTGCGGGTTGGTGGGCGCCAGCATGAGGAGGGGCTTGTGCTAGGTGCGCAGACCCCTCTCAAGGCCCCCACAGGTTTCAGATGCGGTGTGGGGTGCACCGTGCCGGCATGCGTGACACAGCAGTCCGCGGAAGAGTGCGATCGTGCTGAGCCGGCCCCCTCATCCACCGAATCGCCTCGCAGGGCCCATCCTGTCCCCACGCAGCCCTCATGCCATCCACCCACCTGCTCGGGGGGGGCAAGCAGCTTGAGGGTCGCGGAGCCTGCCAGCCGCGCCGCCGCGCACCGCACCTTCCAGCTCACGTCCTCGTCGTCGGAGAACTCGTCCTCACTCAGGCTAGCATGGAAAGGGGGAAAAAGGACATCAGGCACCCTCGCAAGGCCAGTTCAGGAGACTTGGAGGGGCACTGGCCGCCGTGCGGTCACGATCTGTTTGATGAGAGTGCGCACCCACTCCACGACTCACCCGTCGTCGTCCTCGTCGTCCGAGGGCGCGGAGGGGCCGTCCCCGTCCTCCCCGCCGCTGTCTTCCTCATCATAGTTGGGGTCGTACCTGGGCCGGGTGCATTGTGCAGTGCTTCTTGACATCAGGAGATTGCCACCCTACTTCCACGATCCTCGCCTAACAAAAACCCTCACAACAACTCCCTTGCCTGATGAACTTCAGGGTCGCTTGGAGGATGGCTGCAGCGGCAGGCTTGGCATCGCCGCTGCACTGCAGTACCACGGCCTCCAGGGTCTGCAGCATGGGGTGCATTGCAGGGGGGTGGGAGAGGGGTTGACCTGGGTGCAAGCCTCCTCATTGCGGTCAGCACCACCTGGGTTGCTTGGTGGGCGGCACAGTGTCGGATGCCATGTGAGATTCTTCAATGCACACTCACATCACTCAGCCTTGGTCAGGACCTGGACAGCAATCACCCGCCACCCTGGAGCAAGGACTCACATGCAGGCTCTGCTCCAGGCGCTCTTCCTCCTCCTCCCCGGCCCCATCCAACTGCTCCAAGGCAAAATCAATAATGTGTGATGCATGCCGGCCAAACCTCCAGCCGATCGTGTTGCTGCAGTTTGGTGAGGGAGTGAAGGGGGGAAGGTGCATACCTCAGGAGGGGCACAGTGAAATGCATGTGCAAGCAGCAGCAGGGTACATCTTCAGCTGGTTATCGCCCTCCTTTGTTCCAAGGGCCCAGCCCACCATACTGCTGCCAGAGCCTGGAGGTGGAGCAGGGCCGTGGCTGCGGCCTTTCCCCCCCCCACATACAGGCTGGCCGCCAGCTCATCCAGGTCCGACTGACTCAGCGAAACCGCGAGCTGGGCTGCGAGGACGGCAGAAAGAGTGATTGCATGATGGGTGTGGGCTGGGCGTGGGTGAGCCATCCCTGGGTGCAGGGCATGCGGGAGTGCAGGGGCCTGGCTCGAACCATCCCAGCAACATGTCAGACACTGCAGGCCCACCATCCTCCCCGGCATTGCCCCAGGCACGCACCCAGGCACTGCACGGCTCGCTTCTTGAAAACCGGCAGCTGCATCAGCAACTGGTTCTTCAGGCTACTCGGGTCGGGGATGCTGGCTGGAAAGCGCGTCGTCAGCTCCAACAGCACATCCACGGCGTTGTTTCGGGCCGCACTCTCCTGCGAGGCGGACCGCGGGGATGAGGCAGTCGCATCGCAGTCGCACTCCACGTGTCCAGGCAAGCGCCAGAAGACCACCACCTCCCTCGCCGCTCAGGCACACACCTGACCGTTCATTGCCGCAGAGAGCTGGGGGACCAGCTGCACAGCCACTTCGTCGGCCACGCTCGCCGGCGTCTCCTGGATGAAGGTCTTCAGGCCCAGGGCAGCATCGTCGGAGCCAGGCTGCTTCCCGGCCACCATCTGGGCCATGAGCTTCTCCAGGACCGTCTTGAGGCAGGCGTTGCCAATCCGTCCAGAGATGAGGCCCAGGCTACAGAATTGTGGGTGCAGGCAGCATGGCTGGCGGAGCAGTCTGCACCCGGAGCAAGCTCTGTGAGGCTGGCGTGTCCTGCCTTGGAATGCTCAGCGAGCTGGGCACGCCACTCCACCCAACCACCCTGCCTACCACTTCAGGGCCAGGGCGGATACGTCCCCGGAAGGGTCCTCCAGCTGGCGAAGGATCGCCTCTGTGACCCTGACCTCCATTGAGGGGCTCTCAAATCTGAATCCCTCCTTGGCCAGCTCCGTTGCAAGGTCCGAGGCCGCCATGTACCTTTGAGGCAATGGAGGGCATGCTAGCTATCAACCCGCATAGTTCACCACCCATGCAGCTCCGTGTGCATGTTGAGATCTCCTCCTCCCCCTCCCTTCACATCCATCAATCCGAGAACCGCGACTGAATTCCAGCATGCACCTGAAGTCTTTATCCCGAGACCCCATCTGCAGGGTGGGTGGGAACTGGATGTCAATCTCGAAGGACACATCAAGCATGCACGTTTTGGGGGAAGTGATCGTGGGGGCAGGGGACTCGCCTTTTCCAGAATGAGCGCGAGGGTAACGCTCGACATCTTGCTGCGTGTTTATTGTACAGGATCACAGCTTTTTGTATCGCCAACAGCTACTCAAATCTCCTCACGGCACCCTGGCCGCTCACGTCCACGGCTCGCGATGGTCCGGCGGAACAGTCTATAGGATCGCCCTGGGTCCCGAGCACTTAAACGAGTTTCCCCTGTGCAGCACCGGGATCTGTTCTCAATGTGGGTAGGGTACGAGATCTCAGGTCCCCGTGCGGAGGTGGCAGCACTGCACCTCTGTTTCTGCGCGCGCCCGATCGAGCCTTATCATCCGCCGGGACCTGCGAGCATAACCACCCAAGCTCTCCGGACTCCACCGAAAGAACGCTCGATCTGTATTCGCCCATTCCTCATTGCCTTGAAACTAGGAGCAATGCGTGCTATCACGAGCACCACGGTGAGTGTGCACTTGCGTGCAGGGGTCGGTGATGCAGGGATCCGCTGGTTGGGCAGCACTGATTTGGGTTGCATCCATGTCGCTCACATGATTCACATCTCTTAAAATGCACCGTAGTCTACCGCTCTGCGCTGCGCGCGTGTGCAGCAGATTCAGAAGGTATGTTGGGAGCAGGCCCCGCTGTGCTGAAGGGGGTATGCAGCTGTGACCGGCATGAGCATGCAGGGCCTCAACCCTCCCACCCCGACCACGTTGCAGTGCGCCAGCCTGCAGCGACAGGCTCCTCGCCCCATCGGCGGCAGCGCTTTCAAGCCCCTGGAGGTGATGCGTTGCAATGGCATTGGTTTGTGGAGGTGATCGATGGGCCTGTACCACAGCCATGTGCTGCCTGTGAGCGGGCATGGAGAATGGAAAGAAGCTCCCGCCGCTGACAGGAACAGGAATCCTACCTTGCTTGGGGCACTGGTCCCCATCAGGGCCCTGTTGGCAAATGTCAAGTACCCATCCAGGCATTATGTTCCTGAATCCCGACGTCGCTTCATCCACCTGCACCGTTCCATCTGTCCTCGGGGTCCCACCCTACGCCCTCTCACCCTCTCCTCAAACTCTCGCCGCAGGCTCACACCTGGGGTGCCCCTGCCCGTGGACTGCATGCCTCCCGTCGCGTGCTGACTCAGGTTGCCGCCGGAGCCGGCGACCGGGGCCCGGTCACCAAGACCGTCTACTTTGACATCACCATCGGCGGGAAGCCCGAGGGCCGCATCACCATCGGACTGTACGGCGATGATGTGCCAAAGACGGCCGAGAACTTCAGGACCCTGGCCGTGGGCAAAGGGGAGCTGACCTACAAGGGCTCACCCTTCCACCGCGTCATCCCGGACTTCATGATCCAGGTTTGAGGAAGGGGGAGAATTTGTTGAGGTGTGGCAGTGACGGTCCCTTGGAGGGGTGCATCAATAAAGGCCGTGGATCTGCTTCCCCGACATTAGGCGCCTGGTAGGGGTTTGGACATGGCGATGCAGCCAGGGCCCCGTTTAGTTGCCTGCTATAAGTGGGCCCTTCCCGACACCCCATGCAGGGGGGCGACTTCACCAACCAGAACGGCACTGGCGGGAAGAGCATCTATGGCCGCACCTTCCCCGTGAGTCAAGTTGTGGGTCGGTTGACGAAATCATGATACAGTGTGCTCCACCTGCTGTGAGCCGCAGGACATCCTCGCTCCATGGCCGGGCCCCGACCGGCCTCTCCCCCCTCAAACATTCAGGACGAGAACTTCAAGTTCAAGCACACCAAGGTGGGGCTCCTGTCCATGGCCAATGCTGGACCCAACACCAACGGCTCCCAGTTCTTCATCACCACCGCCCTGACCCCGTGGCTGGACGGCCGCCACGTCGTCTTTGGCGAGGGTGGGTGAGGTTTGTTGGTGATGGAACATTGAGGGCGTGGCAGGCTGCCCATTGCTCGCGGAGTCTTGCAAGCCCAGTCCCAGCCACTGAAGCCTCTCTCTGCCATCTCTCGCAGTCATCGATGGGTACGATGTGGTGAAGAAGATTGAGGGAACCAGGACGTCGCGTGGGGACAAGCCCGTGGAGCCCGTCCTGGTGGCCGACGCCGGCGAGCTTTGAGGCCGGGGAGGTCCAATGCCGGCTGTCCTCCCTGTAGTAGTCTTCCCAGGGCTGCTATTGATGCGGGGGGTGCTGCTGAACACATTGCTGCCGGCCCCTGCTGGTGTCTGTCATCAGTGAGAGATGTGGCTTTTCCAAGAGGATGTGGTCAGGATGTGCTGAGTCACGATAGCAGCGGGGTTGCCGTATGAAAGCCAGTTCTGTGGGTGCGGGCGGACGAGAGAGTAGGACCTGGTTGTCAAGTAATGGGAACAGTAGAGCAGTGTCAAAGAACAAGTGCTAGGTTCGATGCATCCCCCGACTCATGCGTGGCAGTCGGTGCGGGAGGCACAGGTGCACTCCGGGGAGAAGCCGGTGTCGGTGCAGCATGTGTCAAAGGGCACGACGGTGCCGTTGCGGGTCGCGTTCCACGTCCACACTGCCGTCCGGTCCGCGCCGACACCCTCAAACTTGGCGTAGGGGTCCAGGGTCTGCATTGTGGTGCGTGGGGTGAGGAGCTGGAGAACACCCACGCCAGTTCCTGGATGTGTTCCGGCCCAGGGGTGACCCGGCGCCCCCCTCTGCGCGTCACACAGCGCACCTGCACGGCGCAGCCAAAGTGGCACCAGGAGTCGGGGTACTCTGTCGCGCCGTCGAAGCAGGAGGCGTACTCGGGCCAGCCGCCCTTGCCCCAGTGCAGGCGCCCTTGGCACTTGGGTCCCCTATAGATGGGAAGGTGTTGCGTGAAGTGGGCAGAGATGGAAGTCTTACGGGCGACTCAGGGGCTGTATGCGCCCCTGTATCACGAGCAGGCTGGAGCTATCACGAGGCTGCCAGGGCTGGTAGCTGGCCATGCACACGGCAACAAAGTCAGCCCACCAAGGATCAGCCGTTTTGACGACTGCAACAGGGCAAGACCTTTGCTCCATACACTCTCACCTGAAGGTCTTCAGGACCTGGTCGTAGCCCTTGTTTGGCGTGCCAGACAGTGTGAGCCAGTCCTGAAGGGACGAGGTAGGGGTCATTGGGGAAGGGTGACGCTCAGCAGGTCCCGGCGGGAAGGCATGCGTGAGTGTTGCCCCTCAGGTGCGGCTCGCCAACCGTGCATTCCAAATCAGAGCTTCGGCAGCACATGGAGCGTCCCCCCCAGAACGATTGGGAGGAAGGTATCGAGGCCCCGCCTCCTCCCCTCCCTCGGAAGACCAGGACTCCCAACCCTCACGCCCAGGCAGGCTCGCCACCCACCTCGATGTTGACATACATCCGTGGCCCGCCGTGCGTGGGCGAGAGGTAGAAGGGCTCCCCCGACACGAACCGGATCAGTGCCGGGTTCCTGAAGTCCCGGCTCACCTGGCTGCCCCGCCCATACACGACCTTGTTGACCTCCTTGAGGCAGGTGCCCGCGATCTCCAGGGGGATGGCCACTTCCATCTGGATATAGGGGGCCAGGGTGGTGCTGATGCGCGTGGTTGCCTCCGTCACCGACATGTATGCCCTGCAAGGTTGGGGTGTTTCCCGGGATTTGTGGGGTCTTGAGATGGGGGTGCAGAGGGCAGACAAACTGCTGTTGAGAACTGCGGGCCACTTGGCTGCATGGAGGACACCCGCCCCAAGGATCAAGCCCAGGGCATCGGGATGACATGGGAAGACATGACACATGCACTGTTCCCTCACCTCACTCAATGAGGGATTGCCACGCCACTTCCTGATCTTGAACCCACCCCCACCCAACCCCTCAAGAACCACCACACCCCCTTCTACGTACTTGCGCGTCTCGAACGTGCCCGGGCGGACGTAGGTCTGCGCGCCCGCGCTGTACACCACCCCCCAGTAGGCGGGGTTGGTGGTCATGGCCGCGTTGGCCCGCAGCGGCGCCTTGGTGGCCTGGGCAAACACGGTCTGGTCGTTGGGCCCGGAGAAGGAGTGCATGGTGGGGTCCATGGAGAAGTTGAGATTCTCCAGCACTTCTTCCGGCTCCTTGAACAGGTGCTGGTAGTCGACGCGCCAGAGCGTGTCGCGCTCCACCAGCCACAGCGCCTGGGTCTCGTGTACCGAGAAGAGGGCCTTCTGGACAGCCAGGTTATCCTTTGCGGCCTTGGCCGCCTTGTAGGCCTCCTGCGTGGCGGTGACCTGGTCCGCAAAGCGGGCCAGCGTCAGGTCCTGTGGGCGTGGGTGGGAGTGGAAGGGGTCAGGTTGGATTGGAGGCTGGAAGGTGAACGACACACCCTCTGCCAGCCTGCATGCGGGAGCACCTGCCAAACTCCAGGTCTAGATCATATTCCCATCCAGACCAAGGGGCCCCTTCCCGCACACATTTTGCCATGGTGAAGATGCCTTGTCCCCCCTCTACCTGCTTGGAGCGTGAGATGGCCTGCTGGGGGATGATGGTCATCTTGAGCTTGACGATGATGCCCAGGCGCCCCGCACTCACGCCAAACGCCTTGAACAGGTGGGGGTCGGAAGCTGCGCTGAAAGTGGCCAGGGTGCCGTTGGCCAGCACAGCGGCGATCTCCACGACCTGCAGGAGGGGGAGGCGCGGCCTGGCTTGGTGCACTGATGATGCAGTGAATGAGCAGAAATGAGGAACATCTGACGGCAGTCCTCGTCGGGCATGCCGGCAGACACAAGGCGGCGTGCTCTACATGCCATGCTACAATCCGATCACAATGGGTGCCATTGCCTCAACACTGTCGTCTCAGAGTCCCCCCCCCCCCAAACTTGCCTGGCTGCTGAGGCTGCCATAGCGCATGGAGGAGCCGTGCGTCGCAGTCGCCACCGCGCCGCCAATGGTCTGGTCGATAAACCAGGAGAAGGCGGGGAGCGTCCAGCCCGCGGGCTGGGTGCCATGCCGGTACTCGGAGAGGTAGTCCAGCAGCACTCGCTGAGGCACGCCGGCAGCCACTGCAGGATGGCGCATGTGTATGCGAATTTGAAGGGGGGGAAATGCAGGGTAGACAAGCATGTGAACAGCGACTCGTGTACTGTCTTGGGACTGAGGGGACAGTATCCCCGACCTCTGATCAGCACCCCTTTAGCAGAACTGGTGCAATGCAGCTTCCGAGCTTCAAATGGACCCCACAATCAGCAAGGACCGCTGAGCGATCAAGTATTCACCCTTTCCCAACACACGCTCGGCTGTACCTGTGACAGTGCGCGACTGCTCATCCACCTGGATGGGAAAGGTCGAGGGGGGTTTGGCGCCCCTCCACTGCTCTGGGTTGGGCGGCGACAGGATGCTGCATTGCGGGGGGGATGGCGGTGCGCCTGAAAATTTAATATTCGTTCTATGTGGACGGAAGGAAATGTCGGATGGAAAAAGCCGTACTGTATCATGAGTGTCGATGAACGATCGGGATTGGTTGCTCCATCCCGGATCCCTTGAGCGCCGGCCGACATCGACCCCTCGCACCTATCTAGGGTGGTTTGCAGCTCGGTCATCACAATGTTGATGCTCTGGGAGTCATTTCCGGCGCAGAAGTTCTGCTTCCACCAGGACCCCCCCACTCCATTGGCCTGCGTGGGTGGTCATGCGTAGAAGGATTGAGGGTGCGCCGGATCGAGCCGACACGGTCATGGCCATGTTCGAATTTATGACGACCGAGGGCAGCACTCCACCGAGGCCGCACCTTCACTTTTGGAAAGGACTCCACGAGTGTCTGTAGCTCCCCGATGTCTTTGGGTCTCCCAACGAGAACTTCGCTGTCGCATGCGAAATTGCCTGCGGGATGGTAGAGGATGCGTGCTTGCAAGGAGCCCATACGCCTGTGTGCCTGTCACGTGCCTGCTCGGAGTCATGGGACGCACCCTCCACTCCGAAGACATACGTCGCGCACCTTGAAAGTTGCTCAGAGCATACGGCAGGCCACACGCCGAATTTGCTGCCTCGCCCGCCATGCGGCAATTGTAAGAGGACGGTCCCTGCGCGTGGACGCATGCAATGAGCATGCCGAGCACCATGGCCAGCGAGCGACATGCACGAGGCGATGCCATGGCCTTAGGAGTGTGTCGTAATTCCCAGAGCATGTTCAAGTATGCAGCCAGTGTAATTTGGGATTGCACATATTAAGCGTGCATTTTATCATGCTAATGGTCCATGGGCAGGTTCGAGTTCACGCAGCTCTCTCCCAGGTCGCATGGAGACGAGACGTGTCCTCGGTTGGACCCCGACGTGGGTTTCGTGGTGGAGAACTTTCCCCCGTGCCATTCGATACGTTTCGTACCGCTCAGAACTCATTAAACATGTTTGCATGTGACCCACATCATGCAAGAATGATCCTCCTCTCCCTCTGAACATTCTTGCCGTGAGAAGGCAGACAACTGCAGCAGTCTAGAGTGGGTCCATACTGCTTCATCGGATCATTAAAATCTGACTCAAAGTTCATCCCTTCTAGAAACAGAAAATTGACAACATGGTATTGAAAACCAAACAATGGTACCCACGCTAGAATCTGTCCGCATGCGCTTGTGTTGAATTCTCACCCTTCCACGTACTATGCAGCTCGCGAATGTGCGACTGCCTTATGCGTCGCAACATCGCATCGCGATAGAGGGAAGTTGGGCATAGCTATTAGTCTTTTTGATTGTGAATTAGTTCGAGGGTACGGCTCAAGCGGCCTGGATACACCCTTCCTCGTGCAATGGCGCTCCAGCCGTACAACAACGACAGTGCCAAGGCCCTCGCCCTATTACCGCAACTTACTCCTGAAGAAAGAGAACGAAGAGAGAAGGAGGTGCGTTGTGGTGATCGTTAGACGTCTCTGCCAGCCAAGCCAGCCTGGGCGCCTCCGACACCCTGCATAAGCTGGTCCCACGCATCCGCAGGCGGAGGTCTTGGATGAGAAGCTTCGATACATCGTGGAGAATGTCCCAGACCGCGTGTACCACGTCATGGGCAGCAATGCCGGTGCCGGCAGTGGCGAATTCCACACGTACAGAGCTGTGAGTTGAAGCTCGAATGGATAGGCTCCTCCCCTCATCAGGGTATGCCTCCTGGAGTCTTCCAACCTCCCCCGCCCTCTCTTAAAAACCCCTGCAGTCGAGGAGAAGGGAGCAGGAACGGCAAGCACGCATGGAGGCTGAGTTCCAAGAGGCAAAGAAATTGGCCACGATACAGGTAGGATGGATGGGGTGGGGTCTGAGGAGTACATTGCTGAAGGCAGCTGTGGTCGGCAGCCATTCTTCAGGGGGGATTGCAAAGCGCCCTTGCCAACCATTCATCCTCTACGTTGGTCCATGCAGGAGCGTGTGTCACGACTAGCAGAGATTGATGAGGAAAGGACAGCACAGCGGCGAGCCAAACGTCAAAAGAAGAAGGTGGGTGCTTGGCTTTGTTTGGATGTGTGTGGTCTAACACTCCACGTCACACTATCTAGAGAATCCTTAGACTGTTTAATCCTCATGGCATCCCATATTTCCTTTTCAGCTCCAACATTAAACCAATCTGCAGGCCAAGGCAGCCAGTCGCTCAAAGGGGACCAGTGACTCTGGCGGAGAGGCAGGTCAGGACGCCGGTGCGCCTTCCTCACACAGCCCTGGTGCAGCTGCTCCGGGCGACCACGCCCCTCCCAACTTGGCGCTCGACTGAGACCTTGTAACGCACTGACTCCCATGACCCATCTCAATACCCCTAATCCCAGTCCTGGAAGTTCACTCGCAGTTTCTCAGGTTTCAGGAGATCACTGTCACAGTGTGCAGGTTTCCATCATCAGCTCAGACCATGTACTCCTTCACTTGTCGCTCTACACAGTCCTGAACGACTGATGGATATGGCGCAGGGACTCCTCGTTCCTCGCCCACAGCTGTGGTGGAGTGGGTGTGGTAGGGTGGGGCTTTAGCAGGGGGCGCTGAGCTTGGGGACGGTGATTTGGCCCCAAGGTTGACTCACGCCGCAGCACCCACAACCAGGGAATCTGCACTGCCGCAACCCAGTCCTCGCCTTTGTGGGCGACTTGACTAGGAAGGCGTACACCTTGCCCATGTTCACGGTGAAGGTCATAAGGTAACGGATGTCTGGCGACACGATCTCCACATCATAGTATTTCTGCCCGTCGATTTCGTGCTCGGAGTCGCGCTTCTCCGTCAACATGGTGAGGGCGTCCTGCGCGGAGCGACGAGTAGCGGTGGAGTCCTCGTGTTTAGATTAAACCTGCAGGAGACTTCCAGGTCTGCAGCAGCATGAGTGGCCCAAGGGTTGAGGCATGCCAGAGCGTCAGCGCAGGGAAAGGAGTTCGGGGACAAGGCCTGCTTGCTCCAAGCAACCCAGTTTGTTTGCCCCGCCCAAACCAGGAGAGCCTGCCTGGAGATCGTAATCGGCGCCGGCAAACCCGGCCAGGGTGGACTCGATGTTTGTGAGCTTAAAACTCTTATTGTCTTCCCCCGCCCGACCAAATGTGACGACAAACGCCTGCTCCAGCTTGTTCCGCGGCTGGTGTGGGGTGAGACGCAGACGGTGGTCAGGCTAGCAGCCATTGCCATGGTGAGGCAGAGGAGTCACTTGATGAATGCATGAGCAGATTAGGAGAGCAAAACAGTACACTCCCACACAGACACCCAGAAGGGGTGCACCACCAGTCAAGCTGGGAAGGGTGTGGCCCTGGGTAATCAAGCACCCCTTGCCATGCTCCTCGCGATACTCACATTGAACACCCGGCCGTCCACACCCTGTGTGCCCTTGGACACTTTATTCACGACCTCCGACTTCCAGTTAGTCGGGTACTCGAATGTGTACCTGTGTTCCATGATAGTCCAAGGAGCCTAGTCAGATGCTCAGATCCTACTGCAAATGCCATACGCGGAGAACTCCACCCCAGGTCACGTCCAGCCCCTAACCGTCCGAAAATGGTAAGCTCCCTGGGCCACCCGCCCACCCTGCCTCACTTGGCATCCTCCTTTGCATTGCCACCATAGCCGCCATAGCTCGTGGGTGGGGATGCTAGTCCATAGAACACCTTGTACTCTGTAAGGTAAAGGACGAGGATGCCGTGATGGAGGAATTCGCAGAAGAGCAACCGTTCTCATAATCACCGAGCCCAGGGTACCTTCTCCTTCCGCGTGTGCAGGTAGGATGCTAGTCGACATGAAGCCCGATACGAGGGCGGATCCACTCAGGAGCACCAGTCGTCGTGGAAGGCAAGGTGCGATGTCGCGATGCGAGGCATCGGCATGGCATGAGGGTGCCCGTGCATGCCCACTCCTTCCCACGCGGAGTGTGCAGGGTGGGCGATGCACCGAGATCGAGCTGCGTACTGCTGACATAATGCCAATGATTATCACCACAGTGTTTGCATGGAGAGGCGCTGCCCCTGGATGCACCATTGCAGTTGCGAAAGGCTAATAATTGACAGGATGAGGAATCGGATTCCATCACGTAATGAGGCTCAAAGATTTCTCACTTTGTATGTTGAGGACGTGGAGCACCTCCTGCTTATACCCTGGACCCACAACCATTCCTTGAATGTACTCGCGAGCTTGGGTACCATGTCATGGGAATTGTAAGGCAGTAAAATGCAGCTGCATTCCCCTGTTCCCATGATCACATTAAGCACTGTCGCCAGTCGAAAGATAAGTGTGCTTGGTTGGACATCAGGTGCGTCATTCTGTTTCATAAAACCTTTCTGGGGATGAATGTTTGTTCACCACAAGCACCGGTGATGGTCCTGCCCACTCTTGTGGCATGCTTTTTTGAAATCTTTGGATCAGATGCTCCCCGATTCACCAGCCCCTTGGGCCCTTCGCCCGCTGCCACCACCCCCTCCACTGCAATCTCAGCAACTTTGCGATGAAGCTTCAAACATTCAAGATCATTGGCAGTGAGCGATTCGTCTAGATACCTCTACCACGTCTGGTCCCTGGAGCCGGTGGGGGCCGCATGGCACCGACGGAAGCCTGCTTCCGTGTCAGTGCCGTACCACACAATGCAGCGCACAAACGCAATCTAAGGAGTAATGGCCGTGGTCATTTCCCGATTGGCAGGGCACCCCGTGCCCGAAGGCCCCGCAGCGGGTTCTCAACGGCTCCCCGGGCCGTGCTGTCCGACGGCAACCAGGATCGAGTCCTCCTGCCGATCGACTACGCCAAGGTGAGCACAATGTTTTGGTTGGTGGTGCAGCGCGTCATGCAACGGCTTCATTGTTATGGGGCGCGGAGACACGCTGCCCAGGGCCCCTGCCCTTGCATGTCGACTGGCAACACTGCTTTTGGCCCCACGCGCTTGTTGGCACTGCACGCCAGTTCCCCACTGGGGTATGAATCCGTGATCTTCATGCCAAGCTGTCCACCTGCAAGCAGTGCCTGCGTCATGGGTGCCATTGCCATGCCCGGCCCCAGGGTCAGCTTGCATGGACGGCCCCCCCTCCCCCCACCCCCCAGCCCCACCCCTTACGTCCCCGGCAGCTCCTGGGGCTGGGAAACCGGGAGCTGTGCAGCGAGTCCCACATCCAGCGCGCCCACGACGCCCTGGCCGAGGAGGAGCTGGAGGCCGGCTACTCCCCGCTCGCCCGTCTGGGCCGCGACAAGCTGCTGTACGCGGCGCGGGAGGGCCTGCGGAGCGCGCGCGGCCGCGTGCGTACCCTCGCGCCCGACATCGCCATAGAGCCGCTGCTCCTGCCCGGGGCCCTGGCCCTGCTCCAGCAGGTGGGCGCCTACGACCTCGTGGTCGAGGCCGCGGCGGCGGCGCCCGCCAGCCTGGCGCGCGGCCTGCGCGGCGCCAGCCGCGAGGACGAGCGGGAGTGGGGCCGCGACGTGGCGCTGGCCACGGCCCTGGCGCACTGCGGCCGCGCGCGGCGCGCGCTGGAGGCCGGCGGCGGCGGGGGAGAGGGTGTGGCGGGGTTTGGCGACGGCGCCGCCGCGCCCGCGCCCGGCGCGGCCGGCCTGGCCTGCGCAGAGATGGACGCCGCGCTGGGCGCGCTGCGCGGCGCGGGCGGGCGCGGCGCGCCGCTGGCGCCGGAGCTGGCGCGCGAGATCGCCGCGGCGCTGGGCGCGCTGCGCGCCTCGGCGCTGGTGGAGGCGCTGCGCGACCCCGGCGCGGGGGACACCCCCGCCCGCCGGTCCAGCGTCGCGGCGCTGCGCTCGGCACTGCTGGAGGCCGGCGCAACCCGCGGCGCGCTTTCCTTGTCACGGCGTGAGGGCGGGGCGGGCCGGCTGGGGCCCGAGGAGGCGGCCGCCGCGCTGGGCGCGCTGAACGCCGACGAGCTGGCGGGCGTGGCCGACTGGGAGCGCGTGGCGGGGGACCGGGGGGCCTTCCCCTGGGCCACCCCCGACGTGCTCACCGAGGCGGTCCTGGCCTGCATCGTCACGGGGTTCACCCGGCGGCGGCCGCGCCTGGTGGCCACCGCCGCCGCCGTCGCGGCCAGCATCCAGTCGGTGAGTTTCCTGGTGGTGGGGCGCCGGGAGCCCCGGAGCGATGGGCGGCGGAGGGGAGGATTCTGCATGTCAGCGTCTCCCACAGCCACCTGGGCCTCCAGCTGGTGGCAGGGATCCATTCTTGGCGCAGGCGCCGCGTGGTCTCGCTCCATCAACACCCCCCCATTCCCTCTGTCTTGGCATTCGTGCAGCAGCGCGACACGACCATCCACCTGGCGGTCTGCCGCGTGCTCCTGGGCGCCCCAGAGGCGGCGCTGGAGATCCTGGAGGAGGACGAGCGAATTGGGGCGACCCTGGGGTGAGGGTGCAGGGGGGCGGGGTGGGGCTGGATGGGATCAGAGGCTTCCTCTGGGTGGCAGTGGTGATACAGGGCTGCACTTCGTGGCTTCAGGTCGTGCACTGACCGCCACCACAAAACTCCCACCTCCTTCCCGACCCCTCAGCGCGGCGGCGCTGGAGACGCCGGGGCCGGACGATGCCTTCCCCTCCCGCGACGGCGTGATGGACTGGATCCGGGCGCAGGCGCCGGGCGACCCCCTCCCCGGCCTCTGCGCCTTTGTCGAAAAGGTGGGCCGGGTGTCTTTGCCTGATAAGAACTGTGGTGCTGGGGTGCTCTCTGACCATGCAGACTTCTAGCGACCGACATGGGTCTCTCCCATTGAGCGGCTGGCACAGAATCCGAGCACCCCCCCTCCCCAGAGCAACACCGCTCCCCCTCCTTTAACACGCCCAGTGGCTGGAGCTGAAGGCCATTCCGCACTTCCGGGTCCTGGATGGGTCGGAGCCGGGGCCTGGGCAGAGCGAGCCCGTGTCCCTGGTCCCCTACTTTGACGACATGGCCGTGCAGGCCTCCCTGTCGGGGTCGGCGGTGCGTGGCCCTGTGCGAATGGGAGGCGGGGCGCGGACTGTGGCTTGCAGCGTCGAGTGCAGGGCAGCGGCGCGGCCATGTAGCGCCTGGAGACGAGCGGGCGGTCTGCACATGCTGGGCGAGCGTCTCGCACTCCACCCATCCCACCCGCTTTCCTCCCCGTACCTCCCTCCCCAGGACGGATCCCTGAGGTTCCTGTCCGGCATCCAGTCCATCTTGTCTGGCCTGCCTGGCAGGCTCGGGCAGCTGGGGCCGGGAGTGCAGCGCACCCTCGACAAGGTGCGCTGCAGGTGCTGAGCGTGCGTGGCGACCGCCCCTCGGTGCTCGACGCCGTCTGGTCGTGGAGGTGCCCTGAGTTTCACCCCGGCGTGTGTCCTGCAGTGCACCAAGGCTCCCACCCCCCACCCCTCATCGACACGCAGGCGCGGTCGAGTGCGCCTGGCGGCCCCACCCTCATCAAGCGTGCCCTGCAGCTCGTGCTCGGCGCCAGCATGCTGGCCGTGCTCTCCATGCTGGCTTCCCGGCAGCTCACCTCCTCCCAGCGCGAGCCTTCCGCAATCCGCCAGGTGGCCACGCTGGCGTCCCAGGGCGGCAGGAAACGGCGGCAGGGCTCGACGGGGAAGGAGGCAGCCATTGCGGGCCAGTCTGGCGCGGCGCCAGAGGCCGCCGAGCCGCAGCCAGCCCCGCGGCGCGAGGCGCCCAGCCTGGCACGGTCTCAGGCCGAGACGCTCATACAGCGCTGGCTGGTGAGGGCCAGCATGACTGAGGCTTGGAGACCCATGCCATCCCTGTTCGCTCAAGCCGAGTCACACACAGACCTGAACCTCGTCTGACCTCCACGATCACAGGCTGCGAAGGCGGACGCCATGGGCCCCCGCCATCGGACCCAGGCACTGGCGAGCGTGCTGACGGAGCCCATCCTGGGGGCGGTACGGGCGGAGGCGGACGAGGCCGCGGCCAGCGGCTGGTTCTGGAACATCCGGCCTCTCAAATCCAGGGTGGGTGAGGGAGGGGTGGGGTGGAGGTGGGGGGTTGCAGGGTGGGAGAGGACGAAAGTTTGCCCGTGGCCTTTGAAACCAACGTGTCGCCGGTGGAGGCCAGACAAGGCGCACCGTGCTGAGTCTCCAGCATGTTTTACGACAGAGCTTGCAGGAGACGGGGAATCCGCGTGGCAAGAGAATGGCTGGTCCAGAGTGCGCCGACCCTCCCTTCCCCATCCACGCGACGCAGGTGAACAGCATCTCCTCCACCCCCGGCGGACCCACCCTGGTGCTGGCAACCGTGGACGAGTCCGCCGACCTCTGGGCCAGCAATGGGAAGAAGGGCGACTCGTACCGCACGACATACCAGGCGAGTGACGCAAAGGAAGGGCTGGGATGCCAGGGTTTGGCTGCCGACCTGACATTCTTTGGGATGGGCACGCTGTGTGCCACGACACGTGGCTCGATAATCAATGGCCGCCGGCGAGCCAAATTCATCCCCTCTGTGCATTCCACAGGTCGAGTACACGATGGTCCACGTGGGGGGCCAGTGGCGCATCAGCAGCGCCCTCGTCATCGGCGGCTGAGCGAGGCAGGGCGCTGGCATCGATCGAGAGGGAGGAGGGAGGAGGGGCCTGGTGTTCCGCCGGGCGGCTCCGCAAAGGTCGCATGGGAAGGACGACCTGCTGGAAGGTAGGTACCCCGCACCCAGACACTCGGTCCCCCAACCGAACAGTCTGCAATGGCGCACCCCGTCCAGGCACCCCACCTTCGAGCTGTGCGGCAGCGCGATTTGCCTCACAGTGTGCTCCTGTGGTCCACAGTATACAAAACATTACCCTGACTGGCTGCTCTCTTCACCCCCACTGACTCTGCCTCCCGGTGACCGTTGATCTGTACATCCCTGCATGACCCCAGGCAGTGGCGCTGCCACGTGCAGAGCCGCTCACCCCTCGCTGGTGCCAGGTGCAGTCCGGGGAACAGACAGGAAGGGGCCCTCTGTCGCCGGGAACTGCGACACGAGACTTTCCCTGTGAGGAGGCAAAAGGGGGGGTCCCTGATCAATCAGGAGGATGTCTGGACCACCCTCCAGGTGGCCATTGCGTGCATGCCATGCCGGCTCTGACAGGATATGACTTGCTGATAATTTTCACAATCACGGCTGCATGGCCGTGCCCATACCTGTTCTCAAATGTGTGAGGCTCGTCAGGTCTCTGCCAGTCCTGAGAGTCGACGTCAGCCTGGAGCGCAGGGGGGACTCCCTCCACATCGATGGCCTGGAGCTGGCTGAACCAATCCACGATGCTGGTCAGCTCCTTGGTCAGGCCCTCAACCTGATGGGCGGGGGACAGGACAGGCAGGGATTCAGAATAGATATGACCTGGTGGTGATGGTCTCTTTCCCCTCTCCCTCACCCATGGGCACCTGGTCTTCCTCCAGGTCCAGATGTGCCATGGCCGCCAGTTTCCTAACATCCGGAGGGTCTACAGAGGAATGGACTGCCCGGGTGGTGATCAGGGAGGGCTGGGGCATGGACTTCGCCGGTCGAGAGCATGCCGGACCACCCTGCCAGAGGCTCCGCACAGCCTTGAGCTGGAGGCGCAAGGCCAAGGAACTGCCCATGGCTAGGGAGATGTAATGAGTGGTTGAATTTGAGTGTAAAGTTGATCGAGCGGCGATGTTTCGCAGATGTGTCGGATTTCGCAACTGGCGCGCGGAACTGGAGGAGGCCAGCATGGAGCAAAAATGCAATGAGATCCTTTGCTATCAAGGGATCAACTCAGCAGAAATGACCATCCATCTTATACATTGCGCCTCATCTGTCCAGGAATGTGATGCAAAAAGTCACATTCCTGTGTTGGGAAGCACATACCCGAAGGGGGATCCCATGACGTACCATCAGGCTGACAAGTCTATTCAAAGTTGGTACATGGTCGTGGACCAAGCAAACCGTGTTCCATTTTCACCCTGGTGATGAAGGCACGGGTACAATCTCTGTCATAATGCCTGATGTGCAACATGAATTATTGTACCCCGCATAAATCATGTCGACTGGGGCTGCAAGCAAGCTTCCATGCGCTGGCCGCCAGCGTGGACAATGGTGACCTTCCCGACAGGCCCCGGAACCCCAGGCCGGACCCCCATACCCTGCCACACGCATTGACTACATACCAAACTACAATTCCTATATTAGATCCACTCCCCCCGCTCTCCATCCGCGAGCATCGCTCGTGGGCCAGGGGCTTTGCCGGTGTGGGCTGCAACCTTATCTGCTCCCCCGACCAGCATGCCGGCTCCCGGGTGCTCCATATCCCATGCATCGCATATTTCGAGCCAGGCGATGAGGTCCTCCGGCGCATCGGGTGCAGGCCAGTGTGGGCGCCCCGCCCTGATCCCTCAGGCCAGGACCAGCACCCGTGCGGCATTCATATCCCAGAGCCGGCCCAGGACCCGACGCTACCTGCAGACCAGAGCCGGGATGGAGACGGAATCCGGCGATGGAGCCCCCATGCAGCCGGGGAGGGGTGACCCCAGTGCCTCTTCAACCTCGCTGCTGCAGCAACCACTCCTATGGGCAGCCGTGCCGGTCGTCGCCCCCCTCCTCGCCTGGGGCTGCGGTGGTGGCGACGGCAACGGCAGGGGTGCCGGCGGCGGCGGCGGCGGTGGCGGCGGCGGTGGTCTGCCGCACGAGATCTTTGCCGTGGCCGAGGATCAAGACGAGGGTGGGTGGGCGTGGGTGGGCAGCGCCTTTGGTGCCTTGAGAGCTTGATGGTGGAGATGCAGGGGGTTCCAGTCAGGCACGGCACCGTATGACTCGTGGGACTCCCACCATTCATGATTGCGGCAGGCGAGGAGATCGGCGACGAGGCTGACGCCGACTCCGACGACGAGTCAGAGGATGAGTCAGAGGATGAGTCAGAGGATGAGGAAGAAGAAGAGGAGGAGGCCAGGCCTTCTGCCAAGCCGGCCGCCGCCGACGGCACTTTTACTTGCGGCGAGCTGGAGGCGCAGGGCCTGCCCGTGGGCGAGGGCATCCCCACCCAAGCCGACCTCTTCGCCGGCTTGCACTGCCAGCCCGGCTTCGTCTGCTCGCGCAAGGAGCTGGCGCAGGACATCAAGGCCCTTTATGCTTCGGGCCTGTTTGAGCGCGTGAATGCCCGAGTGGTGCCCCTCAAGAAGAACAAGTTCAAGGTGGGGGGTGGGAGTTGTGGTGGCGGCGGCCGTGAAGCCTGTGGCGGACGCTGGATGGGTCCCTGCGGATGCCAACCTGGACAAGGGGGATGATTGCCTGCTGGGCCTGCGGGCATGTAAGCTCCGGGCATGCTCCTCATGACGGATCCAGTCTGGCCGGAGATTAGCCATTGCTCTTCAATGTAATGCCTCACCCATCTCCACGCTTCCACTGCAGGTCGTCTTTGACTTTGCGGAAAAGTTCTACCCCCCCATGCGTAACTTTGAGGTCGAGGGCGCCAGAGTGCTGCCTCGCAAGGGTGCGCATGTGATGGGTGGAGGTGCCGCGTACGGCCCTGTCGATGGGTGAGGGTGCCCGGAATCCTGATGCTCGCAATGGAGGGCCGCTCCATGTGGCGGGCCTGTGTCCAGGCGTGATATCCCAAAATTCCTCTCCTTCTTCGATCGGGATGGTAAAGACGCGACAATACCGCGCGCATGCGTGCATCCACTCGGCCCCGGTCCCAGCAGCTCCAGGCGCCATCTTACCCCCTTCAAATCCAACCCCACCTGCAGTGCTGGCCGATCTGAAGAAGAAGCTGGCAGCCCTGCCCAACGAGACCCCCTTCACGATGCGCACCATGGCCCTGATCAAGACGAGCATCGAGGGGTGGTACCAATCGCGCGGCTACGGCCTGTGCTACATCTCCCACTTCTCGGGCATGGGCACCGGGTCCATCACCGCCCACGTGATTGAGGGCCGGGCCAACAAGATCAACGTGGTGAGTGGGTGGGAAGAAGGAATGAGCGCATTTACCTTGCAGGGGTCGATGCGTGTGCACTGTGTGGTGTGGCTCCGTGAAGAGCGGCATGATTGATGATGACGGCCAGCAATGAGGACATGTCCGCTTGGCGTTGGGATTTACGGTCAGGCGGCCTGCCACTCTGGGTTGGAAGTGTTGCTTCGACAAACCCGCCTTCGTTCTTCAGCCCCTCAACCCTAAGTCCCACACATCCAGGTCTGGATGAATGACGAGGGGCAGCCTGAGAAGACGCCCGGCAAGGTGGACGCCAAGTTCATCCTCAAGCACTGCCCCGTGGAGGTGAGGGGGAAAGAGTGGCCTCCCCTTTTTGCTCGCCATGTCCCAAAGTCGCACTGCATGGACCTGTTCCACTGATGAGGGTCTTAGCTACCATCACCTACCCCACTCCCGTAAATCCCAACCCCTCTCCCATCCCCCCTCCATCCTCCCTGTATAGAGGGGCCGCCTGTACAACCTGGCCGACGGGCGGAAGACGCTGCAGAACGTGTTTGCACTGGACCTGTTTGACAACGTGCAGATCCTGCCCCGCCAGAACGAGCGCAACCCGGGGCAGGTGGAGGTGGACGTCATGGTCAAGGAGAAGCCTATGCAGACGGCGGATGTGGAGGCGGAGTGGGGCCTGGCAGCGGGTATGGAATGCGGTGTGGTGCGAGCGGGTGGGGGTGGCCCATCAGATGAGCTGTTGATCTGGGGGTGCTGTGGAGGCAAACCAGGGCTTGTCACCGGCTGCGGCCACTTGCAGAAAGACAGTGCATGCAGGGCAGAGGGAGGCTGTCGTCCGCCGAACCCCCAACAACCACGCTCGCCTACGCTACACGTGCACAGACGAGAAGAACAGGCCGACGCTGGTGTCCCTCGTCCCGGGCGGCACCATCACGTACGAGAACCGCAACCTGGGCGGCCGCGCCGCGACGGTGGCCGCCTCCATCAACACCAAGTCCTTCCTGGCGCCCTCCGACGACATCTCCTACCGCCTGATGTACCAGAAGCCCTTCATCTGGGGTCTGTCGGACGAGAACCGCACCAAGCTGCAGGCAACCGTGTTCAACGCGCGCAAGCTCTGCGGCGTCTTCACCCCAGGTGCGACAGGGGTGGTGTGCCTGCAGGAGTGGGGGGGGGAGTGCGCAGTTGTGAAGGGACGAGGGTTGGCCAGGGGTGGCTCTGATCGAGGGGAGTGCAGCCCCGCATCGGGCGCCAGACAAGGCCCGGCCACCCCAACCCCCACCCACCCGACCCACCGCGCACAGGCCCCGACGGGGAGGAGGTCCCGCCCGTGTGGGTGGACCGCGCCGGCGCGCGTGTGCAGCTGACGCAGCAGTTCACGCGGGGCTCGCGCGGTTCGCTGGGCCTGGTGGCCCAGGAGGTGGGCACCCGCGACGAGACGGGCGCGCCCTGCGCACGCGGCGGCCGAGTGTCGCCCATGGGCGCCGTGGTGGCCGACGGCCCGCCCACCACGCTGGGGGCCGCCGGGCGCGACCGCCTGGCGTATGCCCAGGCCGCGCTGGTGCGGGACACCACCTACCTGCGCGACGGCGCCACGCTGGGGGCGCGCGACGTGCTGACCGTGGACCAGGGCCTGGGCATCGGCACGGGGTTCCCCTTCTTCAACCGCGCCACCGCTGCCTGCACGCGCTTCCTGGGCCTGACCCGGCCCTGGCCGCGAGCTCGCCTGGGGCCCGCCTCCCTCGTGCTGCACGGGCGCGCCGGCGCGGCGCTGGGCGACCTCCCCGCCTACGACGCCTTCCTGTTGGGCGGCCCCTACTCCGTGCGCGGGTACAACGTGGGCGAGCTGGCGGCGTGCCGCCGCTTCGCCGAGGCCGCCGCGGAGCTGCGCTTGCCCGTGCTGGGGCGCACGCTCTACGCCTTTGCCGAGGCCGGCTCCGACCTGGGCTCCTCCAAGGAGGTGCGCGGCAACCCCAGCGCCTACTTCCGCCGCGCGGGGCGCGGCTCTTCCCTGGGGGGCGGGGTCAAGCTGGGCGCGCTGCGCGTAGAGGGCGTGCGCGACAACAACGCGGGGAGGTGGCACGTCCTGCTGCACTACGGCGAGCGCTTCTGAAGCGGGTGTCGCTGCGCGCTGCGTGGTGGTACCCGCCCCCTGACCCCGGCCGCCGGACCCTCCCTTGCTCCATCCCCCTTCCCGCCGTCTGTAATGGTCAGACACGTTGCAATGCTGGGGATGAGGGGGGGTGTTTGTAGGCTACACACAGCAGGCCATCTGACATGCAGCACAGCGGCTGGGTGGAAGCTGGAATCAGCAACTGCACCAGGTCCACTATGGTGGAGGGAGCCAGGCTGCGATGGCGTCCCGCGCCTCGCTTGCCGTGATGGAGTCCAGCCTGGGTCTCTGATCCTTGAGTGCTGCGCTGGGGTGGAGCTGGGTGTAGCATGCCAGGGCGGCATAGCCCTCGACGGCAGCGGCACGCGGTGGGGGGCCGGCGGGGCCGGCCTCCTTCTGAGGCTGCGGCGTGGCCGGGAGGGCAGGGCTGTCGTGCAAGGACACGTGCCACCTGGGAAGGAGGATGTGAGGAGGAGGTTGCATGGTGATGTGCAAGCACATGCTTAAGGCTCGGTGGGAGGGGACTGCAAATGTACCGTGTTGGCCGGTGGGTCCCAACTCTGCACCTGCCCACAACCAATATGGCAAGACGCAGCGCACCTGGTGGGGAACAGGCGCAGGGTATAGAGCTTCGACGGCGTCTCTGAAGGAGCTTGTGATCGGCTGGGCGGCCGCTGGGCCAGGAGTCGCGACGCCAGCATCCTCAGGGCGGCGGCCCTCATGGTGGCCAAGGCAGCCGAGTCCAGCCGGGGCAGGTGCAGCGCTCGGGCGCGGTCCAGCCACCGGGAGGCATGGACGCTGGATCTGAGCATGAAGACATAGCGCAGGATGGCTCGACCCACGTTCCGGGCCGCCCCGTCGACCCCTCGAAGCAGGAGTTCGAGGCTGAGCGACCTGGGCAGGGTTCGGCCACGGCCGGGGTACCCACCAAGCAGCCCCAGCAGGAGCAAGGGATCCATGGATGCCACAAGTCTCTTTGTAATTAGATTATGTTTTATGCATTTTATCTGCGCTCTCACGCATGCCCTGGTGTACCCTCCCTGGAGTGCAGGGGCTGTCGGAGTTGGTTTCGAACGCGCGGGAACCGTAAGTAGGTTTGTTACAGATCCCCTTCCCCCACGGGGAGACCAACGCGCGTGGGCCCCCGATGGATGGTCCGGCTGATCGAGGCCGACTTCCGCCTAATATACAAGTTCACTGGTGTTATAGAAGAGAAAGTATGTCTGCCCGATTGTGAGAAGGGGCCGGTTGTGCCAGGCTGCGAGTGATCCGCTGGCCACGATGGCCCAAGTGCCCGCCAGGCAGGCTTCTGCCGCGCAGGCACCCCCTATCGTGGAGGAGCCGATACCTTATCAAGCCCTGTTGGTGCCCAAACAGACCATTCTGACGAACATCAAGGTCGGTGAGGGGCATGGGTGACCGTGGCACCGCGCCCTGGGTGCTTGCCTCTACATCCAGAACACTCACTCCTAGGATTCCCTCGATGAAATCTGACCAATGGTCATGCATCTCTCCGTACCATCCCTTTCGATTCCCAGAGCCCTTCATATATGGGTGGCAAGCTGCTGTGGCACCCTCACCGCTCCAGCCTCTACCTGGTGAGATGATGGGGTGGGGAGGACGTGCAGGCAGCCCACGCCAGCCCTCTGGCCGCAGTGGATCCATGGCCTCAACCCACTGGTTGCCCCCTCCACCGCCATCCTGCCAGGTCATGGCCGTGGGGCAGCAGTCAAGCCGCATCCTGGAGTTTGACGCCGTGTCTGGGTGCCAGCGTGCCGCGGTCGACTGCCGCTTCATGCCCTCAGCCATGGAGCTCACCCCCGACGGTGCCAGCCTGGTCCTCTTCGCCAAGGTGCGGTGGGGCGCACCGTTCGCCCGGACCCCCAGGCCGCAAGCGAGGGCGTGCCGGCGGTGGCTGTTAGAAATTTGGCAGCTGCCATGCTGGGGGCCACCGGCATGGTCCCAGGTTCCCCGCCCCACGTTTCCAGGGCCCCATTCTCATTCCCTCTTTCCGACCCTTCACAGACCAACGCCGTGGCGGTGTACTCGACGGACACCTGGGCGTGCGAGAGCTCCCACGCCCTCAAGTCCAAGAAAGCGGAGTGGAGCGCCGTGGCCATTTGCGTGGCCCCTGGCCGTCCCCGGCCCCTCGTCTACTTCACCGTGGAGGGCGCGCCGGGGCTGCGCATGCTGGACACGGGCATCGCCAGCGGCGCCGCGGCCCGCGACGCGCGCGAGGGCCCGGCAGTGAAGCTCAAGTCCGAGAACCGGGCCGGCATCCTCGCCCTGGCCGCCTACCCAGGAGGTGTGTGGTGGGGGGTCCGAGTGCGTCTGTGACGGGCGTTGGACGGCTGTGGTTGTGGTCACCAGGAGACCAAGGACTGGGTGGTGGTTGGAAGGTGCCAGGGCCAGGCAACGATACATTCATGTGCATGACTGTGACTCCACTAGGGCACCCACGGCCGGCCCTGCCCCTTGGAGACCGTCCAGGAACGCACCGTGTGTCTCACGCTCCCCCACACTCCGCCGCCTCCTGCCTCACACACCCAAAACTTACAGCCCTCCCCCACCCCCACCCCCCCCGCAAGACCCGCGCACGCTGCTGGCGCTGACGGACGACGGCTGCCTGGTGCTGGCGCGCGTGTCGGCAGCCGAGGGCACCTGGGCCCCCGGCTACTCGCTGGACCTGGGCCTGCCGGCCGCCGAGCAGCAGCCTCAGCCGCACGGCGGCGAGCGCGCATCGCTGCACGCGGTCGCGCACCCGCTGCGCCGCGGCTGCGCGCTGGTGGCCGTGGCCACGCGGCGCGCCGTGCTGGCGGTGGAGGTGCTGGACGCGCGCGAGGCGCGGGTTTTGGGCGCGGTCCCGCCCCCGCCTTCCGGCGCGCCCTTCTGCGGCGCGGGCTTCGTGCACGGCGGCGCGGCGCTGGCGGCCGCCGCAGCGACGCCCGGCGGCGACGCCGCGCTGCGCGTGTTGCGCCTCTGGCCGCGCGCGGGCGACGCGCTGGCCGCGACGCCGGCCGCCGCCCGTCCGGGCACCATGCTGGAGGCGCTGGCGGGGGGCGGCGGCGGCGCCCAGACCCCCTCCTCGGCCGGCGTGGGCCAGGTGGCCTTCCACCCGCGCAGCGGCGAGCTGGCGGCGCTGCCGCGCGCGGGGGAGAGCGCCGAGCCCCAGCCCCCCTCCCGCCTGCCCACGCTGCAGCTGCTGGACGCGGGCGACCCGGCGGGGTGCCTGGGCGTCCCCGCCCTCCTCCCCCTGCACTCCAGCCTCGGCTTCTGGACCCAGCGCGACGGCGACGGCGTGGTGTCGCGCCTGCGCTTCCCGCGCTACGCGCACCTCGTCGCGGGCGGGCGCCTGGCCGCCCACGACCTCACCCACGGCCTGCTGACCGAGGTGCTGGCTCCGCCGCGCGCCTCGGACCGCGGCCAGGCGCACGGGCTGAGGTCCGCGCTGCGATCGCCGCGCCGCGGCCTCTGGGTGCTGCTCTGCGACGCGCTGGGCAGCGCCGACCCCGACGCGCAGGCGGCGGGGGCGGGGCCCGGCGCGCGCGCCTGGACCGCGGTGCGCGAGGAAGAGGCCGCGCTGCTGGCCGCCTCGCGCGCCCAGTGGTTCCTCCCCGGCCGCGGCGCGGCATGGCTGGGCGCCGGGCACGACCAGCTGGCCGTGCTGGCCGAATCGGGGCGGCGCCTGCTGGTCTACGACGCCGCCAAGCTGGCGGGCGCGGCGCCGCCCAAGGCGCTGTTCAGCGTGGAGCTGGCCGACGCGGGCGCGGTGGCGATCTTCCCTGGCCCGCCCGCGCGCATCGCGGCGGCGCCGGAGCCGCGGCCCGTAGGGGCCGTGGCCACCGCAGGGGGGGGGGCTGATGCGGAGGCTTCTGAAGCCGGCGCCACTGACTCCGACGACTCCGACGACTCCGGCGCCTCGGGGGCCTCGGAGGCCGCGGCGCGCCGCGCCGAACTGGCGGCGTGGGAGGCGCGAGAGCGCAGGCGCGTGGAGCCCCCGCGCCAAGTGGTGGCGCTGGCGCGGGACGGCGCCGCCCTCTTCCTGCTCGACGTCCCGACCGGGAAGACCGCGCGCGCCGCCCCGGCGCGCGCGCGCGTGCCGCTTGACCCCGGCGAGGCCCTGGTCTCGCTGGCCTGGCAGGCGCTGGGCGGGCCGCCGGGGACCGCCGACGACCTGGCGCACGCAGGCGCTCAGAACCACGGCGGCGCCGCCGCCGCCGCGGTCGCCGCCGCGCTCACCACGCGCCGCCTGCTCCTGCTCACCGAGCGCTTTGCCGTGGCGGCCGTGGTGTCCCTGCCGCGCGCCGCGGGCGTGCCCACCTCCGCGCTCTGGGTCGGTCCTGCGCTGCTCGTGGCCACCGCGGGCGGGCAGGTGTACCTGGCGCGCTGGGACGGCACCGCCCTGCTCCTGGCCACGCTGCTGGCAGGACCCCCCGCGAGCCTGCTGGGCGCGCTGGCCGACAGGCTGCTGCTCGCGCACGACGCGGGCGACGGTGGCGCGGGCGTGGCGCCGCGCGCGCTGCGCACGCCGGAGCTCCTGGTGGAGGGCTGGACGGGCCTGGCGGGGACGGGGCTGCTGCCCGGCGGCACGCGCCGCGCGGCGCACGCGCTGGCCGCGCTGGCGGCCAGCTACGACGCGACCACGCTGGGCCCGGACCTGCTGCGCCGTGTGGCCGCGGCGGGGCACCCGCGCGTCGCCGCCGCGCTTTCCACCCGCTCCGAGGTGCCGGGCGTGGGGCTCATGCGCGGCGCGGTGTACTCGGCCATGGCGGGCGACTGGGAGCCCCTGGTCGGCGCGCTGCTGGGCGAGTGGCAGGCCAGCGACTCGCACCCTGGGTGAGCGGGCGTGGGTGGGTGGGTGGGGGGGTTACAAGCGTGGGGCGACAGTGGAGCAGGAGGGACGGAGAGGCCTCAGCCGGGGATTGTGCAGTGTCCCCTCCCACTCGCCTCATCCCCACCCGCCCTCTCTCCCCTGTGACGCAATCAGCCCGGCCCCGCCGGGGTCAGCCCTGGCCCTGCAGCTTGCTGCGGCCGCCCGTGTGTGCCAGCTGTACGGGCGCTTTGGGGACGCGCGCCGCCTCTTCCAGGCGGCCGGGGCCTGGCCGGAGCTGCTGTCGCTCTGCGTCTTCCAGGGCGACTGGGCGGGCCTGCAGCAGATCGCACGAGGGGTGAGTGCCAAGGGGGGGGGTGAACGGGTGGGGGGTGGGGGGTGGGGTTGGAGTTGGAGTTGAGGAGAGGGGCCGCTGAAGCAGCGGCTGAGAAGTCCGCGGCCAAGCCTGGCGGCATGATGCCTTCCAGTCGGCGTGAATGAACCAGCATTGCATCGGTATGAGTTTGTGTCCAGTGTACTGCAGAGTTACTTTGTTGATTGTCCCCCACCCCTCGCCCATATACATCCACTCTGCAGACCCCGAAGAACGTCCAGGGCTTTGCGGAGCAGCTGCTGGCGGTGAACGAGAACGCCTTCCGCGGCATGGCGGGCAAGAGCCCGCACGGCGGCCGTGCCTGCCTGGCCGACTGGGGCGTCCGCCTGGAGGCCCGCGTGGAGGGAACGGCCGAAGACCCACGCACGGTGCTTGGGGAGGTTGCAGCCTCACGAGATGAGGACCAGGAGGAGGAGGATGGAGGGAGCGGCTCGGAGCGGTTTGCAGGCGACGACACTCAGCACGCCTGGCGCCCGGACGGCGAGGTCTCACAGGACACGCTGGATGCCGATGCCGACGTTGACGTGGCCCCGGCAGGGCGTCTGCCCTTCATGGAGGCCACGCTCCTGCAGACAGAGTGCACGGAAGAAAGCGCGGGAGCGCGCACGGCCGGCAACGACGGCGCGGGCGCGCCCATCCCGCCGCTGGAGGCCGGCGCGCTGGCCTCCTACGCGGGCCTGCCGGGCGCGGTGGCGCTGCGCCGTGCTTTCGGCGGCAGCGGTGCGTCCTCCGGCCTGGCGGCCGGCGGCGCGTCGGCCTCCCCGCGCCCGCCCTCGCCCAGCGCGAGCGATGCGGCGGGCGGGTTTGAGGAGGAGGGCAGCCGGCACGGCGGCCGCGGCGCAGGCGCCGCCTCGATCTCCCGCGCCTCTGACTGGGGCACGGAAAGCGCCACCAGCGGGGGGGCCGGAGGTGCGCCCACAGCAGGCGCGGGCCGAGTGCAGGACCCGCGGAACGGCGGCTCCGGCCAGCCGCCGATGGCCGTGGACGAGGATGACGACGACGATTTTTTCGACTCGGACGACGACGAGGCCTTCCTCGCCGCCGCCCTGCCCGGCGGCGCGGCCGCTGCTGCGGCCGTTGCGGCGGCGGCAGCCCCCGCCAGGTGGGCGGGTGTGGCTGTGGGACGGGCTCACGCTTTCCCTCGGATCAGCGGTTGCAATGTTCATGGGCGCGACGCACAAACAGCGACCATTCGTTCCCTACGAGATCTCCCTCTCTTCGCCATACCCGCATGCAGGGCCGCGGGCGCTGCAGGCACCGAGCCGGTCGACCTACTCGCAACCGGCAGCAGGACGCCGCCTTCGCTGGCCAGCACGCACTCGGGGAGCAAGAGGTTCAGCTTCAACATCCGCGAGGGCGAGGGGAACGTGGCCGGCGCCGCGGCCGCCCCCTCCCTCAAGGCGGCTGTGCAGGTGTGTGTTGTTTGGGGGTGGGTGGGGTTGGGAGGGGAGTTTCACCCGCGCAGCAAGCCTGCCTGGCAGTCATTGGTGGTTGGAATGGGTGTGGCATGCATGCTGTGTGGGTTGCAAACCCACTCACAGGAGGATCGTCCGTCCACCGTCCCCACACATCCCCTGCAGGGGCTGAGACTGGGGCCGCCGCCCCTGGCGCCACCCCCTCCGGCCGGAGGCTCGGCGGTGAGGAGGAGGCATGCTTGCGGGCTGGGTGTGCGAAGGAAGTAGCCAGCCGCAGGGCCGAGTCTCACACTTCTTGCGTGCGCCTCGGACCGCGCGCTGTTGATCTTGCCCAGGACCCACCTGCTTGGCGTGCATGCCTGCAATGTTCATTGACTCACACTCAGGATCCTCCCCTGCCTCGTCCCCTGGCGCAGCGCTACCCCGCCATCCAGCGCTCGGTATCGGGCGCGTCGGAGGACCCCTTTGCCACGCTGGCGCGCGCACCCTCCGCCGCCAGCTCGGCGGCCGGTGGCCAGGGCGCCGCTTCGGACCCCTTTGGCCTCTTGGCCCTGGGGTCTGGTGTGGGTGGCAGCCAGGGCCAGGGCACGCCCAGCCCTGTGCAGGCGCCCAGTGCCGGAGGTGTGAGACTGTGGTGTGGCTTACGGGGTGGCCGGCATGATACAGGGTAGTATCATGTCCCTGGTGCCTGTGCACCTCTGCCGGGTGGATACCTGATGCACGGCTAGCCATCAAAGCTCCTTCTCCTCGCATCTTCTCAGACCCCTCTACCACTCTCCACGCAGGGTCCAGGCACCCCAGCGCCGGCCCAGGCCAGGCCAGCAACCTGCTGGCGGGGTGGGAGGACTTTGAGGCCATGTTTGGCGGCACGACCGCTGTGCTGGCGCCCGCCCCGACACCCGCACCCGCCCCGACAGCCGCACCCGTGCCGGCCGCCCCCACGCAGCAGGTCACCCCGCCCCGGATCCCTCACCCACCACGGCAGCCCACGTCCGCCCGGGGAACACCCCACGCTGCGACCCCCGCCCTCGCGGCGTTCAGACGCAGGGAATGGGAGGAAGCCGCCAAGCAGCTGCGCGTCGGCGGCCAGCTGGACGGCGCGACCCTGGCTCGCCTGGTGGCGGCCGCGCTGCTGGCCGCCGCGGAGCGTGCCGCCAGCCCCGCCGCGGCGGCCCGCCTCGCGCGCCATGCGGCGGCCGTGGCTCTGACCGGCGCCGATGCGGCGGCCGTGCTGTGGTCTGCCGCCCAGTTCCAGGCAGGCGCGGGCAACTTTGGGTGAGTGGATGGATGGAGGGGGAGAAGTGGTGATAGGGGGGATGCATGATGTTGAGCTGGGCCGAGAAATGGTGCCATCGAAAAATTGGCACCTCAGGACCATTTGCTGGTCCAGAACTTGCTGCTCGACCCCACTCAACCCTTCTAGCATGCAACAATGCTCACGCAGGGTGGCGGGCGACATGCTCACCCGTCTGGTGATTGCCGACACGGAGGGGCCGGGAGCCAACGGAATCCCCACCGACGAGGTGCAGGAGTTCCTCAACGACTGCGACCGCAGAGGTGAGCTGGGGTCGCGGGGTGCAAGAGTTGTTGATGAGGAAAGGTGCCTGGCCTAGAGTCGCTGCCTGCATGAAATGTACCCAGGGTATGCCAGGCGCGACCATCTGTGTAGAGCATGCAATCTCACCAATTTGCGCTCCATGGTGGCAAGCAGGCCTCCAAATATTGGCTCCCCCTTTTACTCGCTTGAGCCCGTCAGTCTCTCTTGCACTGGCCTGAACAACCCCCAACCCCTCCGTATCGCAGGCAATGGGAACGCCACGGTGGCCGGGGGGGAGGACCTGACCACCTTCCGATCCATCCTGGCGAGCTGCGCCTCGATTGCGGAGGTGGATGACCTGGTGGCCAACGTTCTCCAGGGCTGAGCATCCAAAAGGGTTCTACTTGCTTGCCCGGACTGGTGTAAGGAGTGGCACACGAGTTACAGTCTCGACCTGGCGATGACAAGAGACTGGGCATGTTTGGGGCGACAGCATGTGGTCTAGCAAGGGCGCCCAGATCTTTTCTATGCGCAGCAGCATATGTGCACCGAAGGCTTTGATACCTGTGCTGTCAAAGCTGTTTGCAGCGCAGCAGCACCGTCTCCCAATGGTGGTGCGGAGAATCTGCGCGCCTGGCCAGAACCAATGCGCCGTCATGGGGCAGGAAACTGGGCACCATCCGCATCGGAACACCCTTTCCACGTCACAGCAGCATCATCTAGCTCTCGCTGGAAAGTGGCAGCAAGGCTGCTGCTGGTCGGTCCCTGACCCTCTACGATCGTCGAGCGCATCAGAGCAGCTTGGAGGCATAAAGCGCTCATTCAGCTCTTGGCGAGGCCGCCACGCCCAGCCCTAGCTCGGCACCGGCCAGTTGTAGCACGTCCCTGACCATCTCGCGAAGGCGGGGCTCTTGCAGCGCCACGGCTTGGACGAGGGCGGGGTAGATGAGCAGGAGGTGGGTCCGCTCCCGCCCGCGCCGCCTGCCGGCGCACCCCCTTGCCACCCCGACCAACTGCAACAGCAGGGAATTGGAACTGAATTCATAAAGTGAGGCCTGCCCACGGATCAGATGGCAAGGGGCAGCACTGCATTCCACTGCCTTTGCTTGATACCCACAAATCCTGTTTGCACCTGCCGCAACTGGCCGTCCGCGCCGTCCAGCAGGGCGTCTGCCACCGCCGGGTCCAGGGTCAAAGAGGCCAGGACCTCCAGCATGCACAACACCTCGTCCAGTCGGGGCTGGCCGCTGGGTCCGCCATACCTACATTGAGGCGGGGGGCGTGCAGAGGCAGAGCCTCGAGATCGTGTAGCGACAGCGGTCCAGAGTGAAAGCATGAGTGGCCACCCCTCATCTCCTCTCCACAACCCGAGAGCTTCATCAAGGTCCACCACGGCGCGAGCACCTCCGTCACCACCCCTCTCTGCTGTTGCCAACCCTCCCCGCACCTGGCCCTAGCGGCCCCCTCCTCAGCCCCCAGGGTCTTGGCGTCCACGGCGGCTTGCACCATGTGGTCGCACCGCGCCAGCAGCGCCCTCAGCGCTGCCACCGCCGCGGGCAGCTGGCCCTCCTCGCCCTCGCCATTTCTGAGTCCGTCGCCCCCGCCGCCCCGGGATCCGTCGCCGCCGGCCCCGTACCGCGCGGCCACGACATACAGCTTCCTGAGGCAGGCCTGGGAGAAGCCCAGCCCCGCGTGCGGCAGTTGCCGCGCCAGCCAGGGCGGCCGGCAGACGCCGCCGTCCACGATCGCCACGAAGCGGTCCAGGGTGGGTGGCGGCATGCTGGGCGCGCTGGCCAGGATGGCGTCGGTCAGCGTGTCCAGTACCGCTGCCTCCAGCTCCGAATCGCTGGCTGCGGAGGCCGCGGTGGCATCAGGGTCATCGGACTGCACGGCAGCGGTGGCGGCGGACGCCTGCTGCTGTGCTGCGTCTTGATTGCTGTGGGGAAGAGAGCACGAGAAGGGGTTTTGAGGGGTCCAAATCGAGGCTCATGGAGAAGGATGGAGATGCTGCCGAGGCTACACATAGTTCTCGCTGATAGCCTGGCTTCCAAGCAACAGCTAACACTGGCTGGGCCTTCCCGACGATGATCTCAAGCCGGGGTCCAGCACTGGACATATCCTCCGTGCACAGAGTCCTCCCACAAGAACAGTGCCCCAAGAGCCTCTACAGAGAGCCCCATTCCCTTTTGCTAGCCCACACCTGCGCACCTGGCCTGATGCGCGTCGGATGTCACAGAGGCCATCTGGATGGAGCCGGGGTCACGGGTTGCCGCCTCCATCCCAGCACCACCTGCATGTGCAGCTCCGTTCTCTGGCGTTGGCTCCGTGGTTGGGAACTCGACCCCTCGACCCAGCAGGAAGAGCTCCAGGGCGTCGGCCAGGGCTGCCCACGCCCTGGCTTCCAGCTTCGGGTCATTCGCGGCAACCAGGGCTGGCAGGCCCTGCGGGACGATGGAGGTGAAGGCCTTTGCGGCCGCCCTCCACAGCGCCTCGTCGTAGACTGTGTGCCGAACCTGCAGGTGGGCGGAGGAGGAAGGATTGGTAGAAAATGGTATGCAAATGATACTCCTTGTGGCAAAACAAACTCGCCCTCGCGCTTTCCTCCCGCGCGACCGGGACAGTGCCAGCAATCAAATCACGAATTGCACTGACATCCCGGTAATGTTCGCAGTCGGTCCTCGGTTCGACCCCGAGCAGTGACATTGCATTCCGTCGCTGTGGCGCAGTGGTAGCGCGCCTGCCTTACAAACCCCGATAAATGTGCTTTTTGCAAATTTATGCCATGAGATTCTCAAGAAAAACTCCTCCACCCAGGGACTCACCGCCATGCAGGCGCCCAGGCAGCCCACCGTCGCCGCCAGCGTTGCCGCCCTGACCCCACTGGGAGCCGGGGTGTAGTACCGCACCAGCGCCTCCAGCACCTGTGATTTTGTTGCTGGGGCACTGCATTGTGAATGCGAGTGACAGTGCATCGATCATGATAGATTGTAGAACTCGGTGCCACCAGTCCCATAAACTCCATGTGAGCCATGTTCAGTGCCCTGCGGTTATCAGGCGCCCCCTTCCCCCCTCCTTCCCCTTCTCGAACACCGGCGCCTCACCTGGAGCAGGAAGGAGGAGGAAAGCGCAGACTGGACCTCCACCCCACCCTCCGTCAGCAGGCGCGCGGCCGACACCTGGCGCCCAACCACGGGGTGCTCTGGCCGCTGCTCGCCATCAGCCGCAGAGCGCGCTGCTTCCAGAATCTGGCCCGGGTGCAGCAGCCGGGCCAGCGTCGCCAAAAAGTCGATCCACAGCTCCTGTGTCAGTTCAGTGGGTATGTAGGGTGATCGATCTCGGCGATCGTGGCAGTCTGTAGGGCTGGATATCATAGCACCATGCCCTCTGGACACTGTCGCTGGCACTCCCAAAGAATATGGACACTGGGCACGGGGTGGCCCCTGCCCTCCAAGACCCAAATACTTTGTCAGTCCACTGCTATCCCCTGAATATCCACCATCCTTTCCACCCCCCAAACACCGAGAATTCTCTCACCTCCTCATCGGGCTGCGGCGCGATGGCGGGCAGCGCCGCCAGAACGGCTTTCTGCACGGGGGGCAGGCCGTAGGCGGCTGCCCCGCCGTTGGACGCGTCGTCGTCGGACCAGGGGTGCCGCGCGCAGCGCTCCAGCCAGCGGTGCACGGCCAGCGAGGCGCCGGCATCGCCACGCGCGCGCGCCGCGCCGCGCGCCGCCCCCGCCAGGCCCACCAGCTCCAGGCGCACCGCCAGCGGCACGCGGCAGGTGGGGTTGGCCGCGGCCTCCACGCCCACCTCCACGGCGCGCACGGCGCGCGCCCAGGCCGCCTCGCCCAGCACATCGCGTCGCCCGCCGTGCGCCGCCAGCAGCGAGCCCAGCACGCCCACGGCCGCCAGGGCCACGCGCTTGCGCGCGCCGGCCATGCAGGACTCGATCACCACCATCATCTCCTCCCAGCCTGGAGAGCAAGGGAGGGGGGGGGAGGGGAGTTGGATGGGGTTTGTGAAGAAGCCTCCTGGACGGAGCTGGCCATAACGGAGCCAGGGCATGGGTTCCCGGCGCGCGGCGTACTGCACAGCGTGCCCGACAGCCTCGGGAACAGGGCAGCACGAGCCAGCCGGGCAGATACATGGGCCGGCAGGACAGCCCCGGTGCATGTATCCAGGGCATGCCAGCATCCCACAGGAGCAGCCGCCCCGCCTGCGCCGTCACGTCCAGGGCTCTCGATGTGCGGTTCCCACCCAGCGCCTCCCCTCCACCTCCCCACCCTTGTCCTGCCTGCATCTGTCCACCCTGACAATCTCATCCCCCCGGCTGCTACCCCCCTCGAAAACGAACACCATCGAGTACCTGCCTCCCCCTGGTCCAGGGTGACGATGAGGGTCAGGTGGGCGCGGAGCAGGCGCCCCATGCCGCCCAGGGCCAGCACCACCGTCTCGTCCCACTGCTTGGCCTCGCTGTTGTGGGAGTGGTGCACCACCAGGTGCACGGTCTCGCCGCGTGAGCGCCCCAGGGCGGCAGGGCCAGACTGAGACAGCAAGGGGGAAAGAGATGTCGAGAGTTGGTTGCCCAGGGGCCCCTTGGGAGGGGCCTTGCAGGCACGTCCTGGCGCCCAGTCATCCAGAAGACCCGCTTCCGGTCCCTCATTCCCTCCCTGGGCCGGTCATCCATTGTCCCTGCCGTAGTCCTCAATCAAGATTCCTGCCACAACACAGCCGTGAGTCACAGCACCCAAAGTTGCTCGCGTCACCCACCTCCTCGCGGCTGCTGGTGACCGACATGTGGAAGGCATGGCGGAGCAAGGGGAAGAGCATGTCCCAGAGGCAGGCCTCCCACCGCGCGCGCGACAGACGGCCGCCCTGCGACATGACCACTGCAAACAGGGTGCGCAGGCCCGAGTTACGGACCTCGGGCCGTGGGTCAGAGGCCAGGCCCTGGTGGTATGAGAGGGAGGGCGAGGGGAGATGTGTCCATGTGCAAGAGTGTCGAGGATCCCTGCGATCCCCCTTTAACGCTCCCGCCAGCCCCCACAAGCACATCTCTCCCCATCTCAAGCAGACTTGCCTGCAGGGCCGAGAAGATGAGCTCCAGGATGACATCGCCCTCCTCCTGGGTCAGGCGCAGGCCCGCCCCCGGCGACACGGCCTCTTCCCCTGTGTCGCCGTCAGGGGCGCCGCCTTCGGACCCCGGCGCGGCCCTGCCTACCAGATCTGCCACGTTCCACAGCAGGCTGATGGTGGTCAGGCTCACGTTCACATCCTCCTGTGTGGTGGAGGGTGTGAAGAGGCATGCAGTCTGCCGAGGAGGGAATGGTTTGCAGATCCTCACTGGACTGGGACACGAGGAGGCGGGGGGGTGCCCAGCCAACCAGGTCCTTGCACTCGGGTCCTGAGCTCAATCCCCAGGGCCGGTCTGGGACTCCAGGCTCCGATTCCTCCTTCTCCCCGGCCACCATCCTCTGCCCCAACCCCTCACTTCTCACCGACGCATGCCACAGAAACCCACCCCCTCTGAGGCCCCTGCACCTGCTGCGCGCCGTAGACGGCGGCCACCTCCAGGCAGCGGCGGAGGCGCGCCGCCCCCAGCCCCGCGGCAAAGTCCCCCGCCACCAGCTGCACTGCCTGGAAGCCGAGGTCGGTGGCAGCGGCGTCGCGCGCCTCCGGCACGGCCGCCAGCAGGCGGAAGACGGCGCCCCAGCCGCCGCCCAGGCGCTCGCCGTGGCGCTGCAGCGTGCTCAGCAGCACGCGCAGCACCGCACGCCGCACCTCCGGCTCCCGCTCCCCGCCGTACACCGACTCCAGCGAGACCAGCAGCATGTGCTCCAGGCCCGAGGGAGGGCCTGGAGCAGGGGGCGCACCGGCAGCGGCGGGGGCCTCGCCGCCGGGCGCGGCCGCGGCGGCGGGGATCCGGGCCAGGGCCCCGGACACGACGCGGCCCAGCGCCTCCACCACCACCACGCGCGCGCTGGGCTGGGCAGCGGCCAGCACCTCCAGCACGTGGCTGTGGGGTTGGGGGAAGCAGGGAGAACGCGTCGAGGGGGGGACTGGGGGCACAGCGGCGTGCAGGCCCTGCAGAGGAGCGGGTTCGCGCATCAGGCACGCAGCATGTACAGGCGGCAGGGCCCTCGACAACACCGACCTTCGATCACCCCCCCTCAACACATCACCTGAGGAAGACGGCCCAGAGGTCCTGCAAGCGCTGCGTGTTGGCCAGCAGCACGTCCGTCATGCGCCCCAGCGCCAGCAGCCTGGGTGCGAGTCATGCACAGTGACTGGTGGGCTGGTTCACGAAGGGGCGGAGGGGCAAGCCTGCTCTCGGACGGGGGCCCCTTCCAGTCCGACGGCTGAAGACCCTGTCTCTCGTCAACATTGCGGCCCTTCCAAACCCTACGACCATTCATGCACACTGCCATCCACTTATCAGTCACCCGTGCTGTATCTCCCCACCATTACACCGCACACACAC